GGATCACTAATATTTATCAAAGAACAGTTCTGCATACTGTAATAAGTCTGATTAATGCCAAATTTATCAGCTCAAAAGCACAGAAAAACTTTGCATAGATGCCACACCAGTATGAGTTCTTATAAAAGCCCTCACCTGTGCCTCACTGCTCGTCGCTTGCATCGCCTTTTCAGCGTTCTTACTTAGTCTCTTTCCAACAGTGCCTTGGTAACTGTGTGCCTCTTCTTGTGTCACTCTCTCCTGTTTCAGGCTTTTGTCTGTGTAGAAGACAGAAAAAAAATACACCTCACTCAACACACGAAGGGCCAAGTAGTTTTAAGAACGATCTAATGATCTTAAAACACTTTTAAATCAATTATGAAGTTAGAATATTTTTAAATATCTTGTATCAGGGTTTGCGTCTCTGCACGATGTTTTGTTAGTTACCACACGGTAACATCTGAGGTATCCCTCACTCTGTAGGGCTTTTTTTTTTTTTTTAAACCAGGCAAACTAATCAACTAACTAGAAAAGGTAGCATTGTAAATGTTATGGAAATTTCATTATCAAAGAATGACAAGCCGTTTCAATAATAAGAGAAAGATTAATCTTTGTCTTTAAGTTTCTTTATTCGAAGGCAAAAGCGTTCAAAGACCCCTCTCCTTAGCGCAGTCAGGGGAAGAGCCCTGGACAACATACACCACATCGTTATATAGTCACAGCAAGGAAAGGACCCACCCAAAGTCTGATCTTATCTCTATTGCCACAAACACAATCCTGACCCCCGAAGAAACTTCAGAAGAAACTTCTAATTCTTCTTTGTCAGTTAGTCATGGGTTCAGGTCAAACAAGGGTACAAACTACAGTCCACACACGTCAGTCCTTTAAGACAATTACCAGATCAAGCATTTTACCCAAGATGTCTTCAGGTCTCTTCTGCTATCACAACTGTGCAAACATCTAAACATTGTCTGCAAACTTATTTAATGGACAAACACAGACTGAAAACAAAATTTTCTATTACATCAACAGTTGACAGATATTCCACTCTCAAGTCTGGGATGAGCAACAACAGATTAAAATAACAAGCAAATCCTGCAGTAATTTTCAGATTTAAAAAAAAAAAGCAATAATACTACAATTACAAGGATTTAAACTTGTGGCTGACAGGGATTTGGGGCAGCTGAAGTAAGAAAATCATTTTAAACAATCCTGATTAATTTGGCCGCAGACTTTTCTATATTGTTAATGTAGAGTCTTTGAAAAGGTTGTCTTGTTTCAAAACCATATTGCAATATCCACAACACCTGAAATAGTAAGATCTGCATATTTTTTTATATATAGAACTGAATCTTTATGAATCTTTAGGTCCAATCCAGTCTCATTTAATTTCAGACCTTATCCACTTAAATTCAGCAAAGTTAATTGGATAATATTTTTTCTTCAGTAGTTCTGGATAGCCCTACTAAACTTATCTTTTAAAGTTTTCTGCCGTTTTATGGGTTTTATCTGGCCGCAAGCTGCGAAACCTAAAATTCTAATATATCTCTGTTCAAGCCAGATAAATCCCAAAATGGCTTCACAAAATTATTTCATAACTGAGGCTTTTTGTTAAAGTAAAGATAAAAGTAACAGAATAGAAAAATGAATAAGAACAATATAATTAAAATACTGTATATGAGAGCAGATATGATGGAAAAGAAGAAACATTTGACTGCTCACCAACATTTTCCTACATTACTTTTCTAATTTATTAGTCTGTTTCTCCTCCGACTTTCACCTAAGTTCATGATATCTAGATTATGAGGGAAACAATTACCGAAATGGTTCTATGCATTATGCTAATGTGTAGCATAAGGCGTAAGCAATACATCATAAATTTCCCAATAAGCAGTCCAGCCGAACAATTCAGAATCGCTGAACTATTTTTCTTGAAAACTACAGCTGTGCCACAGTTTCACCAAGAGTAAGTAAGCAAAAGTAAGCTTGCCAGTGCCTTAACCAAAACAACCAAAGTGGCTTTATTTACAACAATTCCATCTAAGCATGGATTAATATTTAGGAATTAATAATGTGAAAAAGAGACTTGAATGTCTCAATTTATCATACTGCCTTGCAAAACAGTAGATGAGGATCCTGGGCACACCAATAGATTGAAGCAGAAATCATTGTTAGTAATTGTTTCGAATTGAAAATCGATCTTGAATAAAACCGTGGTCCCCAAAATTAGAATGGACTAATGAGATGGTAAAAGATTCCCATGTTTGAATAAAAGGCAGTGAAGGAGCAGCCAATTTAGCACATCCTATAATCACTTATTTTAGAGATGTTGGAACAACTGTAAAGATTGCTTTCCATCTGTGAACGTTTCTAATTTTTGAGAAACTACAGTGGGGTGACTGATTGGGTTTATTTACCATGATGCATCTGAACTAGTGATAAAATAACTAAGATGACGTAGTTTTAGAGGGACATGAGAAATCACCCACCTGTCAGGCTTTTGTCCTCTCCGGTCGTTCTGGCTCTCCCGCAGTCAACACACATCTCCTTCCCGTTGTCTTGCCTATCTTTCCGGCGGCTCTCTGCCGACTTCAGCCTCTTCTCCAGGGATTCCACCTGCTCCCTACACCGCAGCACTTCCTCCACAAAGCTCTCCTCCACCAGCCGGGTGATCTCATAGATGGCAGCCTTGAACACTGTTTCCATCACTCCGGAAAGCTGGGACTGAAAAGACTGAATAGTCTCTGTCATTGTGGCGACCATGTGTTAAAATTTATAGCGGCTTTAACGCTGAGGGAGAGGGAAATGTCCAAATTAAACTTCAAAGCTCGCTGGAAAAAATTGCTGATACCAAAATTTAAAAAAAAAGGGCGGAAACTACTACAAATTAGTTTATTAAGCCAACCAAAAAGGCCGTATAGGTTTAATGTTCAGCTGATTTCCATGTCAGTAAAGCACAGCTAAATAAATTATCAGGGTAAATATGACTTGTTAGCCACCTAGTTTTTTACACTAACTTTAGTTTACCGCAAACCCATCATTATCTGAAACATTTCTTACCCTTTCGATACATTGGTGGAAAGAGTTACCCAACAACTTAACAGCTAGCTTATCCCTTAATAGAAACTGTTTATAATCGCAACTGTTATATTTCCCAGCACTATGAGGACAGCAGCCCGACTTCCTGCTTTAAAAAAAAAAAAAAAAACGGCTTCTTCTTCTATTTTTATGGCGGCTGGCAAACAACTTAATGTGCAATACCGCCACCTTCCAGATTGGAGTATGGATCAGATTTTCTATTACTACCATACATGTACAATTTTTCTATATCTTCTCTTTTTTTTTTTTTTTTTTACATTCAAATCAACAGTATTTTGCAGCACTTTTAGCAAAATTGCCAGCCAACTAACTACGATTCCGATCCGATATGGGGAGTGATCCATACTAATTTGAAAACTGAGTGAGTTATATCCAATATAATATATTGCCTTGAATATTTGTATGTAAACCCATTTAGTTTAATGTAAATACTTTAGATCAACATTATATTATTTTTCTTTCTTTGCTCTTTCTTTTGGTTTGTTACTTTGTTTGTAATTCCTTTTAATTTCTGTAAAGCACTTTGTATTGCCTTGATGCTGAAAATGTGCTATCTAAATAAAATTACCTTTACCTTTGTCAATGTGGTATTTGAGTGTGAACAAATCACAACTGTCTTTTCTCTAACTTCCCCCAATCCCATTGCCTTTCTATTAATTTATCTGTTATTATTTTATTTTTCATAATATTTAAATCTGGAATTATAATAGACATACCTACTTTATTATGTATCATTTTAGAGGCATTTGTATAGTTCTGAACATACTCTGAATATTTCCTTCCTACTTATATATTCCATCTCATTCCTTACTAATTATCTCCTTCGTTTCAGTAAACGAGGGATATTTTTGCCAGTCAATCAATTACAACTTGTCCAAAGATCAATGAGGGAATAATAGTAATACCGCAGGGCTAATTTGAAAATTATCTATTACTACATCTATTAATGTATCCAGAATTATCCATCCAAAACAATAACTTGTTTTTTTCCCCTCTTTTTCTCAACAAGGTTGAAGAGTAATATGTCGACGATGAGGTTCTCTACGTCTAATATTAGCCCAGTAAGTTATGGCTTGTTGTGCTTAAAAATACGGTTGCCGAAATGAGACCATTCAGTCTCCCTATCTGGCGGAGGAAATAAATGTGCGCATTACCGCCCCCAACTGGTCGAGTGTGAGTTAGATCGACAGTCGACTTCTAATTTTCATTTTATCCTTAAAATATATTTCATATTCTCTGCTTTCCTTGTGTTTTATTATAACAGAAGCTATAAGATAATTTTTCTTCCCTCAGGGTGATATGCAAGGTAAAAAAAAAAAAAAAATACGAAACAACTTTCTAGAGCATGAAAGATGTAATGCGGGTTACGTTTTAAATTACTTCCTTCTAAATGTGTTGTAAATTAGTGTGGTCATGTTCACGGTTAAACAGAAAACTCCAATAAGTTATTGTGATCAACATTAAACTCTTCAAGACTAGATTTTTGGGGAAAGTTAAAAAGTTTCACAAACGTCTTTGGATTACAATTCTTTTGATACGAATCAGAATTTTTTCTAAGGCTTGTTTCAAATTTGACAATGATAAATAAATAGATAAACAAATAAATAAATACTTATTTCACTAATTTCCGGGTGTTTGTATTAATAGGCTTGACTGAGTTGCTGTCGTTGAATTTATAAGCTTTCGGAAAACTTTTAATATAAAAAGAAAATCTCGTTATTCTGATGTTTTTCACGGTCCCACACTAGTGTCCACTAGGTGGCAGAAGACGGGATTATTTTCATTCACCGAAGAAGAAGAAAGAGGCGGAAGTAGACACGTTTTAGCCACATTGTGGCATTGTGTGTGTCACGGAATGGCGTGTCTGTAGTTTCGGAGGTTTACGCAAACTGAAAGGTAATTTGCTGCTAATATTGGTTTTAATTTATTCTGGTGGTTTAGGTCATTTAAAATCACAAATAAGGATGAGAGTTCGTTACCGGATATTAGCTCAACTCCAACCGTCATTTGATGTGCGTCACACAAAGCAGAGTCCGCGTCCTGTGCGTGTGAAGGAGCCATATTGGGTCAGCCGTTAATACCCTGTTTTTAATGCTTTCGTTCCACAGCTGAACTCGTCTGGGCACAAACGGAGGGGCCTTTAGGTTTTATCAAGATGTCGGCGGATGATTTTCAGTCGAAGTATGCCTCCGTCATGGAGAGTATGTTGAAGAGCGCCATCGCGGAGACGACTAAACTTTTTGAAAACATGGTGGATGAGCTGAAGGAAGAAATATCCAAGATCAAAAAGGAGAACGAGGACCTGAAAACGAGATGTTTCCAATATGAGACTGCCAAAAGCAAACCGGTTTCTCACACAGGAGAAAGTCACTCTGTTACAGAACCAGGCGATGCCTCTGAGAAATGTGACACTGCTATACAGTGTGGTGAGTAGTTATCTTTATTACATTAAGCATAGCGGAGGACTAGTACTACTAGTAGTAGACTGTGTTTTTGTCGTTTAGATTTTATAATAAGGCGCGGCAGAATTTCCACGTTATTTTGCTGGGTAACCTAAGCTCACGACCGTTACGTAATCGCGGCGTAAGGCCAATCTTATCAGGAGGGTGGGATACATAAAAGGAGGGAAACCGTACTGTGGTCTTTCGGTGTAAGGAACAGGTGAAAGCAAAAGCGATTCTGCAGCAGTCTTCTGGCGCTATAGCTACTTTTACTAATCACATGACAAATTTCCTCATACGTTATACATTGACATTTTCTCTCATTCTCAGTTTTCTATTTTTTTTTTCTTTTGTCTAGAGCGTAAAGAGATTGACCAACTAAAGGACCAAGAACAAATTAAAAAGTTGTTCGATATAGTGTTAGACGCTGGTTGTTTATCAATTTCCAACTTTATTATTGTTGTTTGTTTCGTATCCGACTGCATCTAAGTACTAAAGTCAAAGCAAACGAGCGGTCTGGTACAGGACATTTTGTACCGTTTTCTTACCCGCCTCGAGGACGTTTTGTGCCCACAGTAGCAACCACTAATTGAAGTAGTTTCTTAAAATTGGCTGTTACTAAGGAAGCGTTAAGGGACTCAAATATTTATCTGCAAAGGGTTTCTTCTTTATTAACTGGCCCAAACCGGCATAAGAACAACAATCGAAGGAAGCGAGTTGTATATAAAACCTTCAAAAATCACACAGGATTACGTTAAATTGTATTACATTATACCTTTGATTATTCCTCTGCAAGTCATCAAAGTACTTAACAAAGAAGATCAACTCACACGTTGTTTTTCATGGGTTCAAGTTATGGTCTTAAAAAGATGTATTATTATTATTATTTAGCTTTGTCATGGTATGTTATTTCCTTATCAAAAACAGTCACTTGATTGTGCTGTGAAATGGAAAAATATAAAATTCCAGACTTTAAAATTTGTCTACTATATTTATATATTTTTGTCAATTATAAAATTTCAAGTTTAACAGAAAAAATATTCAAAATATATTGCAATTAAATTAAATTTAAAATGATGTGCTTAAGAACATTTAACTCTTCAGTGTTTTAGAAATATTCTTGTTAAACCTGTAGCAGGTAACTTTTTAAATGTTTTTTTTCTTCCACATTTAATGATTCCTGCATAATTAAACTTATGCAGGAAAAAGTCACAATCATACAAAAAAATCTGAAAAAGGATGCAGTGTTTTGCCATTAACTGTCAACACTATAACTAGATAACGTTCAAGGGCATCACTTTTAACACAGATCAGTAAAAAGTTTTAATTAAAAAACATGGCAAGGAAGTGGGAAGTAGTTATAGTAGTTTGATTTTTGACATGTGCTGCATAATTTGGTGTTTTTGTTTTTTTTACTGTAACTAACCCCGAAATCAACTTTTTTTTCTTCCTTTTTGCTAATAAACTGTCTAAAAAGGTTAATTCGTACTCTATCTTTATGTTTTTGTGCAAATTTTGACATTTCATGTACATTTGTTTACCTCTACAATATTTAGCCTAAAACTGTCTCACTGCTGCCCCTCTTTAGGTCAAATGATGATTAAGTTTGTAAATTTTCCTATTGGGTACAGCAGAACAGCTTGGTACAACTTTGTCACAGAACAGGTTCAGGTATTAAAGCTTCTCACCCACACACACAGCCCCACCAGTGCTTGGTGGTAAATCAGTAGTTGCCACCAGGCAAGCCTCCCCGCTGTGAATGCACAGGCTAAAAAGTATGGACACTGATGATGATGGGTAAAAAGTTTCCCCATAATGTTAGGATGTTTCTTCACCATTAGCTTACATGTTGTGCGGAGGAGGCTGTGAGCAGGTCATACACGAGTGTGATTGAAAGTGCTAAGACCCTCCTCCTGTCTCTGATTGTTTTTTTCTGATCAGGAGTGTACATTTTCCACAGATCGCAGTAGAATCACTGAGGAAGAGCCAGAGTAGATAGTTTTTTTTGTTGTTGTTGTTTTTCTTTTTTTTTTTTTATGATTATCTATCTTATAATTTACAGTCAGGACATGGTAACAGTGGTAACAAGTTTGTTTTTTTTTAAAAAAAAAGGTACTGTGGTATTAACTACAAAGTTTCACACTTGTTTCATATGAGAGTGAGAAACAGACCCTCTTGTCAAAACTAAACACGTTTAAACTATATACTTAAAATGCACACTATATTTCAACTGTCTGGTTAAGTGTAAAGGACAGCATTCCTGCTGTTATGCTGTTATTTTTGCTTACTTTTTTATTGCTAAGATTTTATATTCCTGCTGTTCCATATTGGAACTTTTAAAGAGGTGCTGTTTTACTCTAACATCTCTCCTTTGTTGTTTATTTTCCGTTATTTACTTCTAAACTGGTCTCTCACTTGTTACAAATGGTTTTGAAATCTCGTAAAAATGTGTCAGGCTTCTGCTGTCGATCTTGGATGGTGGAGAAAGGATATGACTCACTACATGTTTTTTGTACCCTCTCCAGTTAGTCATGTGCTGAATTAAACTTATGCAGTACATTAATTGTTTTCCTGTTTCATATACTAACCACTTTTCTCTGAACACTATAACAATTAATGGAAAGTGCTAAGCAGCATGCTTGATAGGCCTACATTCCTCCTGACTGTATTAACCAATCAAAACTACAGTATGCTGTTGCAGACATTTTTGCAACATGATTTGGATATCTTTTCTCTTCATAATTGAAAGCATCCACAGTTGCTCATAAAACTCCTAAAAAACATAATGTTGAATTTGTAATGAGAAAATATGAGCAGGTTTTGGGGCTTTGAATTATATTACTCAGTTCTGCTAAAAAAAGGAAAAATTATTCTAAAGGCAGTAATGCATATTAACTGTGTTATTCAAAATTTTCCCAATTTTACTATTAATTTCAGTCTACCATGTCAAATTGTGTTTGAGTGTGAAACATACATCATTTTTACTGACGTTTTTATTCATGTTTACAGATCTTGTTCCTTGCCGAACAATTCTGGTGGAGGAATGTGAACCATTAATGCGCAGAGAACTGGAAAGCCATGGTCAGCAATGTAGCTATAAGTGGAACAACTACAGTTTACAAGAGCACAACTATGTCAGTTACAAAGACAGAAATTCTCAGATGGAGTTTGTAGTTGTCAAGGAAGAGGTGTGTTTTTAAACTTGGTGCTTAAGATAATTCCCATATTTTTCTTGGAAAATTTATCATTTGCTAAATTCCTGCAATAATCTCACTACCATTCTTCTCTGCAGTCCCAGGTCAAGCAAGAAGATGATGACCCTGAATTTGAATCAGGTGGGTGGTGGCAATCAGAGCCTGCATTTTTTTTATGTTGTATTCTCAATTTTTTAAGTATATTGTAATTTTTTTAAAACTAAATTCTCTTTCTCATTTATCATTTTTGTGTTAACCAGGTTCATTTGGGGCTTCTGTTGGTGAAGCTCCAATTGGAAGACCAAACGTAAACAATTCTTCAACTGCCCAAATAACAATACCTCAAAAAACGAACAACCCAGTGGTTTTACAGTTACCCTGTTTAGAAACTGAAAGTTCACAGGTAACACACAACCAGTCCACTGACATGCAGCATTCCTTTGTTATTTCACTTAAAGATGCCCTGAGGGATGATATTAAGGAAGAGTCGGAAATAGTGGAAGTGGCAAAACAAGGGCTCGCAACATCTGAGGGCAAACAAATCGATCCTCAAGTATGTCACATGGACAGTGCAACAACACATAAAGAGCAAATCCATTTAGAGTCTGCATCAGTCAACACAAACATGGCAGGTGAAGAATTAAACAAAGAAGTTCTTAAAACGGAAGATAATTCCAAGCCCAAATCTTTAACAGGTCGCAAAAGAGGACGCCCACCAAAGAAAACTAGGCAAAAACAAGCTCTTCCTACAACAGATAAAGATACAAAACACCAGGTGGAGTTAACACATCCTTTGGTGACTTCATCTGTTATGAGTTCATCAATCAAAGAGAGTGCAGATACTTCTTTGAAAGACGACATCATAGATGTTGAATCTTTGAGTTGCACCTTTTCCTCTGGAGAGCAACCCACATTTGGATTGCAAGAGCATTGCCCAGAAGTTGTAAAAGATGTGACAGCAGATAAAACACCAGCCACCTCATTGGGTGTACCACTACAAGCATCTTCAGGTTTGCTCAAAGCTTGCCAGACTTCAGTTAGCCTTCAGGATGCCTTGCTGCTCGTTGAAGCTATGAATCAGACAACTTTGGAAAAAAATGATCTCCCATTAAAAGTCACATCACAGCCTCAGATCACCTCCAGTTCTGTTTCTTCTGTGGGTTCCTTCAAAGCAGTAGTCGAGACCCCAGCAGTGCAACAGATGGCTTCTGTTGAAACTCTGACCTCATCTGCATCTGCCGATTTAATAGCTGTCTCTTCATCAAAAGTCGTAGACCTTCAAAATGTTGTCACACTACAACCGTCACATTTGCTTCCAAGCTGTACCACATCATCATCTTTGTCATCGGCTTCTGCTACTCAGACTGTCATTAAGTCACTTCCGCTTCCTCTGATCCATAGGCAGGCACCCAATAAAGGACCTCGTACAATAATTATTCTCCCAAGACCTTCTCTTATATCTGATATTGCCAAAGCAGGGTCTCAAACCCTACGTTCTCCAGTTAACCCAGCAACTTTGAACAAAAGTTATCTACCTCCTTCGTCTACATCAGCTACGCCTCCCCTTTCTTCAGTTCCCAAAAAAACTATTAAAGTTGTCTACAGGAAACAGGATCCTGTCATGTCTTTACAGTCAAGCACCATCTTTACAGATCATCAGTATGTGGCACCTCAAACAATAACTATTGTTTCAAAAACGATGCCATCTGGAGTCTCCAGAGAACCTGAGACAATTGCTCTTGCAGCAAGCCTGGATGACAAGGAACTCGTAGCTGCTGTTCATCCAGAATCATCAAAACGCCTGATGTCGGAGTTACAAGAATCAAGTTCATCTTATTCAGGTCATGCAACATCATCTAAAAACTTACACAGCACAACTGACGACCTCAACTCTTCTGGACAAATTAGCTCTAATGCTGAAAGTACAATAACTTCCACTCAAGAACATTCAGGTTCAGAATTTCCAGCTGTTGGAGTACCACCATCAGTGTCTTCGACATTAACCCAAGGTACTGAGCGCAAACTCAGAGCAGTGGTCAGATTAACTCGACTCCCGTTGTCCATTTCCACCAAAGAATCGGTCTTAATCTCAACGTTGGTATCAAAGGGTATTATCCAAGAAAAGTCATCATATGTTCATGTCTCAGATGAGGCAGATCGACTAACTCCTGATTTGGAACAGGACATGTTATGCAGTGATATGGAGGATGAACAAGAAGGTGCATTCATAACACAGGAGGATACATCTGACCCTCATGTTCAAATGAGTAAAGCTCAGTTTCTGGCCAAACTCTCTGTGTCACCTTTGGAAACTGAGGTAAGCTGTGCAATTGCATAGATATAGTGAAGTATTTCTATTTTCTTTTTGGGTTGTACTAAATTCATATTTTCTTTTTTACAGTCCAATATTAATGAAAGTTCAAATGCCAAAGGAACCAAATCCATTGTTTCCCGTCTACGTAGTCATCTGCAAGCTCATTTGGAATCAAAAAGAAGTTCGACAAAACAGGCTGCAGGAGAAGAAATGCGGACTGAGAACAAAAACAACAAGAAACCACGGCTAATTGCTCAAGACTCAACCAAAATACCAGCTCAAGCTCTTTATATTGTCTCTCCAAGTAAGCTTGCTTGTATGCAGAGTTTAGGACTGCACAAGGGCGGTGGTGAACTAAGCGATACTTCTAGAATGTCAGTATCTACAAAAGAATCACCTAATGTAGGTTTTAAGAAGCCTTGTTCAGGTAGACATAGTGTTATGAAATCTATATCTGAAAGTCCAAGGCAGTCGAGCTCTCCAAAAGAAAGTACAAGCATAAATATAACTAAATCAACTTCTGTGAGCCCAAAGAAGCCCCCTTCAGATGAAAATGATACAATTTCAGGAATCAAAAGGTCCAGCTCTGTCAGTCCCAGGAGACCCACTTATATAAGTTTTAAAATAACAGGAGATGATTTCACCCCTAAAAGTACAAAATCCAGTTCACTGAGTCCTAAGAGGTTAACCAAAGTAGCTTCTAGTCTTGAAAAGACAAAATCTAGTCCAGGTGAAAGCAGCTCGAGCCCTGAGATGTTGAGCACTCGAAGTTGCTCTACATCACCTAAATCCAACCCCAAGACAAAATCCATGAAAAGAGAATACAGTTCTTTCACTCCTAGGAGGTATATTGTAACTGCAGACAGTTCTATTACTGAGATAACTAAGAGTGAACCCGAATCCCCCAGTCCAAAGGGTCTTAAAATGGCAAAAAATGATCCCAATGACAGTCCCCCAATGGCTGTAGAATCCAGTTCTAAGAAACCTCAAGGCCATTGTGGTCGGAAAACAAACCATAAAGTTGCAAGTGCCAAGAAATTGACCAATGCAGCTAAAGGTAGGAGAAGAGTTGGGAAGAAACGAGGTAGCTATAAAAAGAAAAAGCTGGAGTTACCAGTGATTTCATCAGGGGTTGTGAAGAAGTGGCGAGCTAAAGTGTGGTATCCTCCTACGCTTCCGCCCAATGAAAAACCTATGACAGATATAATAAGGCCGCCACCTCTAAAGGTAGAATACAGAATTCCAGATATTCCCCTTAGTGCACCACCTATTGTGTCACCCTTACAGCCGTTGGCTGTCATCGGCAGGCATCTGCTGAGGAACCAGTGTGGAGAATGTGGCCGTGTTTTTAGCAACAGCAATGCACTCGAGAGCCATGTCAGTCTCCATAAAATATACCGGCCTTTCTCCTGTAAACTCTGTGGGAAGTACTTCCCAGACTCCAAGACTTTTAAGCGTCACGATCGGGTGCATCGAAACGGCAGGATTCACGTCTGCCAGCACTGCGGGAAGGGTTTTGTTTATCGTTTCGGTCTAAGCAAACACATCCAAATGGTCCATGGCAGGATAAGACCTTTTATCTGCCAGGTATGCGGCAACGGCTTCTACACCAAACGGGATGTAGAAATCCACATACGGATCCATACCGGAGAGAAACCTTTCCAATGCCACATCTGTGAAAGGAGATTTACAAGGAAAGTGGAGTTGAATGTGCATTTGCGGTGGCACAATGGAGAAAAGAGACACTGGTGTCAATACTGTGGTAAAGGATTTTTAGATTACAATAACCTGAAGAGACACAAATATACCCACACCGGGGAGAAACCATATTCCTGCCCACACTGCCCCAAGAATTTCTCTCAGACTGGTCACCTGAAAAAGCATGTTAAAACTGTGCATAAAAAATAAAACCGGGATAATTTAAAAAAAAAAAAAAAACAGAGGACCACCCTGTTCCTTTCTGTGCTTGCACTGTAAGAGATAAAATCACCTAATTGTACGTTTATTCAAAAGTAATTTTTTCTCGTTTTGTTTTGTTTTACTAATGACTTGATGCAAGCAGTACAAAGTTTCCTGCTTTAGAAACTGGTTTTATTTTCCTTTTGAAAAAGAAAAGTAATTATCTTGTATTATGCATGTAAAAGTTTAGGAAAATTAAACCAAAATGGCAAAGTGTATAATGTGAATATAGATGCATTGACGAGCCCTAAAATTTCAATAGAATTTGCACAAAATAGATGCAACTTTTAGAAGATAAGTTGATGTCTTATTTTTTTAAAACTGTTATATAACTGGCACAGTGTGCTTTTTATAGTGTAGCAAGAAAAAAACATTTGTTGATATATTTGCTGTTCGAAATGATTCATCTGGAATTTAAAGACAACGTTATGCAAACTTGTGCTTTTTCATTTTAAGGTGGGAAAGTAGTTGGCTTTACTTCATTTGTGAGTAACAATTACCAGATTTGTGGTAACTTGTATTTTCATTGCTTGCCATAGCTTTTAAGGAGTGCGTTATAGGAAAATTATCTTACATACTGAATGCTTTGTAAATTTCCAAGAGTCTGCATGTTGTAGCTCTTAGATACTTGTTTTAAATTATCCAGTGACGCAAGTATTTGACTCACTTTCCCATAACCTCACAAACAGTAAAATTTTTTAACGAGAATTAATGCAACATTGAAATTTGAACCAGCAGTGAACACATTGTTTATCTAAATATAATTCTTCTTTTTATTTAAGAGAATGTTTTTAATATTATAATTTGTTTCATTATGTAGCTTTGTCCGACTTATTGTTTGACCGTTGAATTGACTTGCTTTTACAGCAATTCAACACAAGTATGTAAGCACTTAATGTATCAACATCAGAAGAGCTGTAAATGTTTTTTGCTTTATTTCCTGTTTACACTTCTCATGGCAAGGATGTTTTATAAACGGCTTATAATTCACTTAGATATCAGGATATGAACAGTTTGAGCAGAAACAAAGTGTTCTGATATCATGTGTTAAGTTTATTTTGACTTCATGCCTTAGTTTAACCTTTTTGTCAAATAGGATAAAGAAGCACTTTGACAATGCTTCAGTGTCTGCTGACTGAGTTAAAGAAGAAAGCGGAAAAGTATTACATGTAATTAATATGATTACTCTTGCATTGCAAAAGTAGTAATATTTACTAATTGCCTAAGTTTTTTTTCAGTGCACAAGATATTAAAATGTTTTAGCAAAACGGACTTGATATGTAAGTTATGTAAGACTGCTGTATATATTGTAAAGTTACTGATTTCTGTCAATTTCAGATGGATATTTTGTTTGAAGAAATAATAAATGAAACATACAAAAGTCTTGTTTTTATGTTGGAATTAAAATGTATCCTTTTATCCTACAGACTTGGATTTATGCTAGTAGGTGATATAAAACTTGGAGCTGTGAAATGACTTCAGATAGCTTAGTAGGTATTTTGGACATGTCTCACCAACAAGGTATTAGGGGAAGTCCAGATCTGTCCATACCGACACTTCTTACCTGGAACGTCATTAATGTGTCCTCAGGAAGAGCTAGTGATTGTTGCTGCTTAAAACATTTAGGCTCGCTGCCTAGACCTGCTTCTACTGTTATTTGACTTTGGACAAGCTTACAAGAACAATACCTGTCATTTAGTCTATAATAAACACTCAAAAACCAGAAATAGTGAAATGCTCCATTTTATTTGGTAATACATCAGTTATTTGATGCCTTAACCTTCAGCGTATGTGGATTTGAATACATGTGTGCTGTATTTCACTTGTGTATATATAATGTACAAGATGTGGCATCTGATTCTCAAAAACAGATCAAAACGTTTTTCAAGAGGCTATTTGTTCACTAGTTTGAATGGACACAAAAGTGTCCAAATATCCAGTATTTGACTCTTAACCATTAAAAGTTGCATTGAATTTAATTCTGCTTAGTAGCAATGACCTAACTTATCCAGCAAGTTATTGTTTGCTGGTGCTGTTGCAGCACCAACAAGGTGTGTAATGAATCTCATCACAATTGTCAAAAGCAAATAGTTTTAAGTTAGCAAACTGCATTAAGTATTTATTAAGAGGCACAGAGCAGAAGTAGGCTTTTTTTCAAGCAGAATAATTAAAAAATATATACTTAAATTTTATCATTATATCATGTAAACTTCTTTAATGCCTTACCACAAACATAGATGCCAAAAGGCAAAGCCACAGTGGCAACGACAGAGTTGTAACAGGAAAACTGTGTGAACGAATGATCGAGTGGTAGCATTTGCCCACATTGCCAGCCTTATCCACAGCTACAATCTCGACGATCTGCGAACAGCAGGAGGCGCTGTAGTACGCTTGGACGACGGAAGCATTCAGAGCGGTGTGTGTAAAATTCCCATTGCCTTGAATCAAGGAAATGCTTTGAATCCCAGTGCCGTTTTCATCAGTGAAGTTGGCAGAGAGCTCCCACTGGAAAGGTCCACATTTTGAGACGTCATGGGGGCAATTTGCCACTACGGTCGTCACTTCACACTTTGGCGGAATAAAGTCTGTGATCTGTGCAAAATGCAGAAAAAAAGGTGACTATTACATACAGTGGTTCTTCGTCATGTCCATAAATCCCTAATAAAACTGGGTTTTTATGATTAATCATTTTACTTTGGAATAAAATGCCACAGTGACAGTCTTAATCTTAGATTTAAAAAGGCACAGGACAGTGATTGGTCCAGAGGAAGCTGGTTCTATATGCCGTGATCTAGAAAGCCTAGTCCCAATGTTTATATTTAGTTCTTGATGTATTAAAAAATAACTCGGACTCAGTGATTTACCTCAGACACAAAAACTCAATAACTCAGAAATATAAGGTGGGACAAAGCCAATAGGAGCTACTCTGTTCTAAAATGGACTGGCAGCCAGTGGAGGGAGGTCATAATGAGATGTGCTCGTTTCTGGGAGTGACAGTTCAAAGACCTGGATCAGTTGAAATTTTAACACTGTTTTGTGGACTTTTAGGAACTGGAGTGGCCTTTAAAATCAGTACGGTATTCTAATAAATCACTATTTGGTTAGGTTTAAAAGTCTATTTCTAGAGCTAATGCAAATGTTTGGTGTGTTTGGTAATCCATGCAATGTAAGCGCAAAACTCAAGACAAACCAACTTGACCTAAAAGTATTTCAGTTCAGTATTTTATAATGAAAAATTCCCCAAAATGAAATTTACTATAGAATGTGAAAGAAAGTCCCTCCAAACACAGGAGATCAATATCTTTATTTAGCAAAGATAAAATGTTGAAAATTTGACTTTTTGGCCTATAGTTATGTTCAAATTTGATCTAAGCCTTGACTTTGAAAATCATGTTTGCTTTCATCAGCCCAAAGCAACTTTTGACCTAATGGCATTAGTTGTCATTTTTAACGTGGATGTCTTTTCATTTTTTACTTTTATACCAAACTTTCCATTTGTAAGAAAGTTTCATACAAGTGTTCTTTGCAGATGTTATTTGCACATAAATCAGAATAAAATCCTGTCTTATTCTACCACGCTTTCTTGGAGATCCTAATGAGAATATGTCATCTTACCTTATTGACGACAGACAGTCTCAGAACGGCATAATTGGAGTCAACGCCACTTGATGATTTGGCTTCAATAGTCAGAGTGACATCAGTGCCTGACTCTGTGTCAGCAGTTGGTGTAATAGTCAGTGTAGCATTAGCATATTCTCCACTTAACAAACTGAGCCTGTTAAAAGATGTAAAAATGAGTTTTAAAATTATGTTGAAAGAATTTGTGAACTGCAAGAAAGATAATTAATCATAGCATGGATGTACTCCAATTAAAAAGAGAATTTGCATTATCATTTTTTACAATTATCAGTTAAATTCTTAGTGTTTTTTACTTATATATTGATTGTTTTGCAATATTTAGGCCAAATTTTGCTGCTCATTTATTCAGTAGATTCCTATGAGTCTTAGATAGATGCTTGATGTCACATTAGAAATGTTATCCTCCCAACCAAAACCCATCATGTCAGTTTTATACAGGAACATTTTGAAAGAAATCATATGAAACAAATTTTTCTCACATGTTTGGGTATGACATAGGAAAGTCTCTGTCGTTTCGGGCGCTGATGGTGTATGTACCCCCTTCACCTTGGGTCATCACACTGAAGGGAAGTTTAAAAGTTTCTCCTGGCTCAACACTGCTTTCCACTGCAGCCTTGAGAAAGAATAATCACGGCACATTGTTGGGGATGACCTGTTTCTGTCTTTTCACACCAAAATATATTTTAATGTTCTTACATACAATACTAGGCACCAAGTGTATGTTTTTTTATTCAATTGTGAAAACTTGGTATACTACATATGATCAAGACGATGCATTTCTGCAGTTCAGTGTCAAATCGTAGCTGACACTGAACTGGCAATGGCTTCCTGTAGCAAATAGCTTTTAAAGGCCTTCTGTTGTTCTCAGAATGTTCACTTGCCTATTTTTTTTATTTTTTGCAGAATATGTTACCATGGTTAAATACAAGCAGGCCTACTGAGAAGAAGATGGGCTAAAAATGTCTAAAGGAAAACTACAAATTAACTTGTATAGTATTTTGCATAAACACTTTAAAACACTAAAACTCTGATTTGCTTGCTTGAAGCAACATTTTAAGATATAGATTATTGAAAACTTTCACATTTCACACTTCACATAACCTCATACTTTTAATCTGAATTCACTCTCCTTTTTATTGACGCCATCAGTCAAACAGATGTATTTGGAGGATGTGAAGAGATACTGCAAGAACAGACCTGGATATTAACTTTGGAGACGGACATCTGGGTGGTAGACTGTCTCTGAAATTCGCTGTTAGACAATGTGTCCGTTCCTTTCAGAATGAGCACAAACTCCCCCTCAGGAACAGCAGCAACTGTGACCAGGATCTCCCCATTGCCCATGTCAGTCATTGTGCCATTGGTTACAACCTCTGGACCAGACATTGTTACCAAGCCAACCTCTTGGATAGTTGTTGAAGTTGGACCTTTTCTTCCTATTACCGAGAGCATCAGGGTGGCAGGCTGATCTGTTATTTTATTTGAAAATAAATTTGTTTTAGTTTTGTTTTACCTGTAGGAAATTATTATTATTTCCTACATTTTCACTGTAAAAATACAAGATAGAGATTACAAATTTCTCTCATGAAGAACTCTAAACTTCGATAAATACATTTTAATATTTCACTTTAGATGACTGTACATGCAAAAAATGCAGAACTGTGCTGTGCACCTGCTCGTGGACGTCCACTGAGTACTGCATAGCCTGAGTGAGGTCCTGCGAACTTTTCGACAAAGTCATAGATAAAGGTAATTGTGCTCTGGCCTGGAAACAAAAAGAAAAAAAAATAGGATAAATTCAGAATAGATCAGGTGCATTAACTTCATTTAGGAGTAAAAAAAAAAAAGATGAACAAGTATACGGTGTGTGACCTGTGACTTTGAGTGTGTATGGCTGACTGGATTTGATATTGATCTGCCAGGTTCCTGACTGCTTGTCAGCATGCAGACGGATTCTCCTGAGGTTGCCGACTGCGTTGATGGTTCCCAGTTTACCACTGGCTTCAGTGTCAGTCTGGGTAACACCTATAAATGTGAAACATGCCACATTAGTCAGCATGGTTACTCTCAGAGAACAGACAGGCATTCTTTCAGTTTTATCTGAGATTTTCTTTGAAAGTGAGTTACCAGCAGG